TCTTGACTCTTGTTACTTCGTGTGTTCTGGCTGTGACTAGTGCAGAGTGACTTTTCGCTGAACTGTGCTAGTCTTTGGCTTGTTTCAATGTTTGAGTAGGCTACGTTCCGTGCGTGCACATGGGTCAAGTAAGAAATCCAATCATACACGGTCTGTCGGGCTTGCTGGCTGAATCATGCCCTCGCTCCCAGCCCTCGGACCTACGGCCCTCAGCGTCAGGCGAAATTACTGGTCAGTCGGCGACACGCATTTTTCACAAAAAATTGCGTCTCACCTGCTGGGAAAGTATGCGTGTACTCGAGTCTCATCCTGAGCACGTTTTTTTTCTTCTTTTTTTCAGCTCAAGTATAGCTGTATTTTTCATTGCAAAGCCGTCCTCGATTGTTGTGTTCGTTGTTCACACGAAGTGGACATTCAATCATGAAGGCAGAGGACATAGGAGCCTGATTGGAGTTTCTCGTAGCATAGGACGGCCACACAGAGACACTTTGGGATTTTCTGAATATAAAATACCGTACGCACGATGCTGAGATCAATTTGTGCGATATCAAATTGTTTGTGATCTACCACATCGAGCAGAACGGGATCCAAACACAAGCTTACCGACGGTTAGGCTGCCGACCTGACTGGACAAATGATCCCTGGCTTCACCAGACGCCAGAAGTCGGACACCATGTCCTTTGCCGCGATGTCCATCTCCAAAAAGAACTCCATCTTCGTCGTGAAAAGGCTTGAAATACTCAATATTCAACCGAGATTCGCGGTCTCACCCTTTCTCAGATCGAATCATTTGTTGTTGTAGCAGGTGCAGGGCAGATCCCCGCCACTACTTCAACAGGCGATGGCTCCAAAGCATGCCTGGAACAAGCCATATCGAGGTTGCAAGCCACCCCTCTCAGCAAAAAATTCGAAGAAATTCGAAATTTCAATGGTGGAAGATATACTATGAAGAGAATTTCCAAAAGTATGTTTCGCGGAGCGATCGCTCAACCTACGTCATTCAAACTTTGCAGGATGGTTCAGACGTACATGCTAGGCATGGAACCACAGGCGATGATGCCATAGCTGACACACAGAGTAACACACACAGCAGATTCGTGTGGACAGATACTAAATTAGTGGACGTCGTCATCTTCTTCCCGCTGATCTCGAATGTACTATGACGTGCTATTTCGCCTGACGGGCTGGGAGCTCAGGCATGATTCAGCCATCAAGCCCGACAGACCGTGTATGATTATATACCTCATATCTACACTAGCACTTTTATCATCTTTCTAAGCTCTCGCAGACTCCACTACTGCCATTTACACATTACACATTACTCAGTAGTATATGTCAACGCAAGCACTCAGGACTCTCCTCTTTGGTGCATAAGTCATCAACCGTTCACCTAATTTTCGGGCATGGCCCAGGATGGATGAAGGATGGGCCATGCCCGAAGATTTGGTGAAATGTTGATGACTTATGCAGCAAAGAGACCGTATCTTGAGTGTTTGCGTTGAGATAATTACCCTAACGAGCTGATTGGAGAGTAACTGGTGGTGTTCGTGGACATTATAGCGTAACTTGTAGTTCATTTTTCCTTTTCTTTACTATCAATAATAATAATAATAATAGTTACAGTTCGCATGTCACTCATGGAAGGATCCATGAGCTTAACGCATCTGTCAACGAAATCCAGGCAGAAGAGCCGACAAAAGGCATCTCATTATTGTTAGAACGTATCGCAGTAAGAACAACTACGCAAGCGCAGCACATTTTTCCACAAGCATTAGCCATTCTTTCTTGTCTAGAGCCAGTTCAAAACAGTCAGAAATATCAATATTGGCGTGCTTTAGATCATTTTTAATATTGTCAATCCATCTGAGATGGGGTCGGCCACGTGGGCGCTTGATTTGTTATCAAGGAGTATTTTTATCATTTTTATAGATTCGTTGAATAGAATTTCCCTGTTTACCCAAACCATTTTCATTCAGGCGCTTGGACAACAATCTCATCTCAAGTTTCTTCGACGGAATCTTCAGCAAACTGTCAAAGCTTCAGTATCTGTAAGTCCATTAGGAGACCTAGAATATCGTAACAGATCTCAATGGTGTTTTGTTCTGTTTCTTTTTTGCTGATATACTGTAAAAGCAGAAACTTTCGGTGGTGTTTTATTTTCGGTAACTTCGGTGCCGACAATTTTTACCGAAAATAAAACGCACCGAAAATTTCGGTACTACCGGTACTGTTTACATTTAGTACTAGTACACTTACCTGGAAAACGGGTTTTACCGAAAATTTCCCTCTACCGAACCGCCGATTATGGAGAATACCGAAAATATGACACCACCGAAAATTTCTGCTTTTACAGTAACTCAACTACAATATGGCAAATTGTTTATTTCAATTTTTCAAGTGCATCCACAGAGCATGTTTGAAAGATTTTAAAAAAAGTGTTTATGTTCTTTTCTCGGTGTGTGTATGTGTGTGTGTGTGTGTGTGTGTGTGTGTGTGTGTGTGTGTGTGTGCGTGCGTGCGTGCGTGCGTGCGTGCGTGCGTGCGTGTGTGTGTGTGCGTTCATGTATATGGGCATGTGTATGTGTGGGTGTGCGCGCGTGTGCATGTATGTGTGTGTGGGGGGGGGGGGGGGGGCGTCTGTGTCTGCGGCCGTGACTTTCGCCGTCCGAGTTCAGTGGAATATTGATTGACTGTGCAATGTCAATATTCAGTGCTTTGCTCGTTGCATTCTTTTTCATATGTAGTTTTCATATGTAGTATGACAAACAAGTCTTTGGGAAAGGCGTATACTTCGATGTCGTGTTCAAGTACTCTAATTTCAGAAATTTTCGGTGCTCAATATTTTCGGTATGAGGGCAACAGGCTAGGTTAGGAGAACAGAAATTTTCGGTACAGAGAAGCAGTTCCCCATTGGATTATGTGTGTTAGTGTTTGTTCGGTGTATTGAAAATTCCGAAAATAAAAGTACACCGAAAATTTGTGAAATTACAGTATATCCAGATACCGTAAAGTCGCGGATAAAAGCCGGGCTCATAAGCATATACGCCGCTTTCTACATCAGGCTTCAATGCAAACCAGGTTTGTATGCAAACCATGCTTATATGCACCACTGATATTTTTGCCAGGCTTGTATGCACATCGGCCGATCTGGGCTTGCATAGAAGCCAGGCTTCTACGCGCGACACGCGTAGATCTACCACTGACTACCGGTATGGCGGCAGTTTTACTATGCATCGTACATAGCGCATGCACTCTTGACCTACCCGATCCGCGCTTGCATAGAAGCCAGGCTTCTACGCGCGACAGGCTTATATGCATTTGACCCGTTTGATTTTCAGGCTTCTATCCACGATGTGCTTGTATGCAAACCCGGCTTTTATCCGCGACTTTACGGTATGTAGTTAATACGTGATTTCAGACCTTCTCTTGTTCTCTTTGTCTATCCAGATATTCTCCCTCTTTTTCTCCTTTTCTTTCTAACCATACAAATGTTCTTTCTCTCTCTCTCTCTCTCTCTCTCTCTCTCTCTCTCTCTCTCTCTCTCTCCCTCTGCACCCTGCAGAGATTTCTCCAATAACCAGTTCCGAACTCTCAGACCAAATGTGTTTACTGGGCTGTCCAATCTTAACATCCTGTGAGCCTGTGAGCCTGTGCGGGTGCACACTTATTTGTCCATCTGTGTGTGTGTCTGTGTGTGCATACATGTGTGTGAGTGTGTGTGTGTGTGTGTGTGTGTGTGTGTGTGTGTGTGTGTGTGTGTATGCATATTCGTGTGCATGTGCGTGTGTATGCATATTTGTGTGCATGTGTGTGTGTGTGTGTGTGTGTGTGTTGTACATACGCGTGTGTTTGTTTTTGTTGCACATGTATCCCAGTGTGTCTGTGTGTATGCATGCACATGCGCTCTTTTGCGTGTTAGTGTGTTTGTCAATGTGCATGTACATTTTGTAGGCATGTGGGAGACGAAGTCTTGATGTCAGTAGTGTATTAGGTGACAACATTACAGTGCCGTACAGTTTAGTCTGCTATTTTTGTAGCAGGGTATTGAAAGGTGAGAATACCTAATAATAGCAAAGGTTCAGTTCCAGCCCATCAGCAGATTTAGTTTTTAAAACATGTTGTAAGAGTGTATATGCATGGGACTGGGAGAGTTAGACTACCGTATACCCGCAAATAAAAGACCGTCCTCGTATACAACGCCTTCCTCGAATACAAGGCCGGGGCAGGGGGCGATTGAAAAAATACAAGACCGTCTCCGATTAGAACACCGTGCCTTCTAATGAGTCTTGTGTTAAAAATAGAAGACCGTGCTCAAACTGTGGGAAAAAATAGAAGACCGTGCTCAAACTGTGTAGAAGAAAATGGAAGAACGGGGGTAAAACGGTGTGGCGAAAAATAGAAGACTGGGGTCAAACGGGGTTGAAAGAATAAAAGACCGTCCTCGAATACAAGACCATGCTCAATTATAAAGCCGGGTTAGGACGAGTTTGAAAAAAATAGTAGACCGGCCTGCTATTTGCGGATATAAGGTATATTCGGTGTAATTTCAACTGACGGCAAATGTTCACTTCGCTTTTTTCATTCCCTATAAGTTGCCAAACAGGCAGGAACATTGATGGAATAGCTTTCTGTCTCTTTGCTCCCTTGTCTCCCTCCCTCTGTCTCTGTCTCTATCTCTCTATCCATCCCTCTGCAGCGATTTTTCCAATAACCAGATCCAAGTTCTCCCATCCAATTTGTTCAGTGGACTTAGCAAACTTAGAACCCTGTGAGCAAGTAGTCTGTGTGTGTGTGTGTGTGTGTGTGTGTGTGTGTGTGTGTGTATGTGTGTGTGTGTGTGTGTGTGTGTGTTTGTGTGTGTGTATGTGTGTGTGTATGTGTGTGCCAGTGTATGCCGGAGTATGTGGTGTGGTGTGTGTGTAGAAAAAAATGGAAAAATGAAAAATAGGGATTCACTGGCCAGAAAAAGTCACTTCAAACAGCTGTGTGGTGGATACCAGGCTAAAAATAGTGGCGGTCAATTCATCAGCCTTGCAAGCTGTTGAATGGTGTAATCCCAGCACAAGTTGCTATGTCTAACATAGCTGTTCGCTATCATCGCTTCCGCGATGGGCATGTCTGAGGTCTGAGGTGTGTGTGTTTGTGTGCGTTTGTGTGTGTGTGTTTGTGTGTATGTTTGTTTGTTTGTTTGTTTGTGTGTGTGTGTCTTTGTGTGTGTGTGTGTGTGTGTATGTATGTGTGTGTGTGTTTGTGTGTGTGTATGTGTTTGTTTGTGTGTTTGTGTGTGTGTGTGTGTTTGTGTGTGTATGTGTGTGTGTGTGTGCATGTACGTGCGCACGTGTTTGTGTGTATGTGTATGTGATTGTGTGTACCGTATTTTACCGGTTGTAAGTCGACCCCGGTTATAGGTCGACCCCCATATCCGGAGGTCTCAATTCCGCGTTTTAAAGTTTTCACCCAGCAAAGCACTACTAACCACTCCCTTCTACTAACACATCAACAAATCATGTAAATATTCCTTAGTGGAGGGCATAACGTCCCAATCCTTGAAAAAGGCCAATAAACTGGCAAACATGTGTACAGATGGTGCACTCGTGCATGCAGTGCAGGTCGTTTTTGTAAGATACTGATAGTTCGGGAGAATGAAGTTGAAGACACCACTGCAGCTGAACTTATGGTTGATAAATATGGGTAAAGACACACCTGGCAATATGGCGGTAAACACACGCCTGCCCACACACGCTCTCTAGGCTGCAAAGTTCTGGCACAGAGCTCTCCTTCTCACCACCACCACCACCACCATCAGTTCGCGCCTGGTGCCTGGTCGATGCATGGCTGGCGGTATCTGGCATAGCAGGCTGGTACATCAAGTAGCGCATGGCACATAGATGATGACACAGCAACGACATTGCTCGATTGCGACGTAGGTTTCGTCCCCGCTGGACTAATCAGGCAATCTTCTTCTTGGATGTCTACATACGGAGCTTGACTCGGGAGAATGAAGTTGAAGACACCACTGCAGCTGTACTTATGGTTGATAAACATGGTGGTAAAGACACACCTGGCAATATGGCGGTAAAATGGCGTCATATTGCCAGGTGTGTCTTTACCACCATATTTATCAACCATAAGTACAGCTGCAGTGGTGTCTTCAACTTCATTCTCCCGAGTCAAGCTCCGTATGAAGACATCCAAGAAAAAGATTGCCTGATGAGTCCAGCGGGGACGAAACGTACGTCGCAATCGAGCTATGTCGTTGCTGTGTCATCTGCTATGTGCCATGCGCTACTTGATGTACCAGCCCGCTATGCCAGATACCGCCAGCCATGCATCGACCAGGCGCCAGGCGCGAACTGATGGTGGTGGTGGTGAGAAGGAGAGCTCTATGCCAGAACTTTGCAGCCTAGAGAGCGTGTGTGGGCAGGCGTGTGTTTACCGCCATATTGCCAGGTGTGTCTTTACCACCATATTTATCAACCATACTGATAGTTCCTGGTTTTAAGTCGAATCCCGGTTGTAAGTCGACCCCCACCCTTTCTCCTTCTATTTTTAGTCGTAAAAGGTCGACTTACAACCGGAAAAATGCGGTATGTGTTTACGTGTACGTGCATGTGTTCTTGGGAAAGCCTTGCTGGCACTTCGCTAAAACCTGTCATCTATACCAGTTAAAACCTGCGCCGCGGGGCAGTCTTTCCCTCAGATATCACATCATAGTGATCATGCCTATATGCTGAAGATCCACTTGGCATCATGTTTGCAGTGAGTGTGTTCGATTCGCGCTATTCACATCACCCCGTGTGGACAGAGTGAATGGATTACGAATCGATTCCAGGGCTCGTGACATGAAAATCGAACGACTTGAATGCATGCGAATGGATTCATGAATCTATTCATGTTCATAATCAAACACAGCCAGTGTGTGATCACTGCTGACACAGCCATGTATTCACTGCAGTTATTGAAAGCAGATTTTAGAAAACCACTTTTAATATAGAACAAGTTTCGGTGTACTGTAAAAGCCATATATATATAACGAAGTGCTAACTCTAACGAGTTAAAACGAGGAGAAGTCTGTCGATAAAATAGAAATCGTTATACAGAAATTGACACATATACTGTCCTATTGAGCGTTGAGAATGCGGAGTGAGAATTGTTACCTTTGGTACTCGTAAACTAGTCAATTTTGGGAAATCGTTATATGAGCCGCGCCAAGCTAAAAAGTGGCTTAGCGTTTTGCCAACAAATCGAGAAAATCACCAAAACGTCACAGTCGGCAAAATTCTACTCGAGCGCAGTCGCGAAAATATTCACTTTCGAGCACCCTTTGAAACTTTCAAGTAAAATAGTTTGCAAGTGGAGAAGAAGAAAGAGGCCTTTTATTTTTGAGCAACACTTCTTCAGTGTTCCCTCTTTCATCGTTGTGGGGATTTCTTGCCCCTGCCAGAGATCGTAATGAAGCGTTCTGGAGAATGTGGAGGTGAGCAGGATGACACTCTGTCTCCGTGTGCGCCCAACCCCACTTGACGAGGAAGATTCGCTCATTCATAGTGGCCGTGTTTCTCATCGTGGCCACGACTAGAGCGGCTAGTATAGCTATGGGGAGACGTGTACAAGCCGTCCGACTATCATTCTGACAAGCTGCCTAGTGAGTTGGATCTTGCTGCGATGTTTCACTTTGTTTCGGCACCTTCAAATGTTCATGACGTGGCGTACTGTATTCCAAAATTTCCTCATTTCAAGGCCAATGGTGCCACACGACGAAGCGACGAATTGACTCTACCTGTAAGCATTGTTGTGGTGCCTTCTACCACTACCTGCACTAGGGAAGGAGAATGACATGGACTAGGACGGACAAGGAATCAGTGCCGCTTTTTAGCGATGTGCTGTCTGCTGGACCTACACGTGCGTGCAAGGGACGGATGGAGCTCGATCTCTGGCACAACACTACGAGCTACATGAAAGGATTAATTCATGCTGGCATAGGTGATCGGAGAGAGTAACGGACTGTCTTGGTAAGACTTAGATGCGACGTATCCCAGCCCAGCGAAAATATAGTCACAGACTCACAACATCATTGAAGGATATGAAAATTCGTGGTGCGTGAAGAAATGACATGAGATACATAGATCAATTATTTATTCTTTCTTTGGATCTTCTAATTAGAACACAAGTGCTCGTTCTTCTTGTATTGCTTCCACACCTGCTAAGCTTTGTCTCCACTTGGTGTCCCATGATTTTGGGAGTTTGGGCCGGTCTTCAAATCCTTAGTGTCATTGATACCAGGTATGCTGTGACATGTGCGCAATGTATACGTATTTATGGCACATATACATTTCAGATGGGCACCAAAATTTTCCTGATGGAAGTTGGATAGGTAGACATCACTTTGGCATGGAAAAAGAAATTTCCAAAAATTATGCCTAAGCCACCTTTTTGCTTGGCTCGGCTCATATATGCGCATCGTTAGAATAATGGCTTTTACAGTAATTCAATTTCAATAATTTTGGTAGAGAAACCAGGCACCTAAATTGATATTGCACCTAAATGACACTGGAGTATGTACTGCTGTGTGCAGGGAACGCTACTCAACAAATTCTACATTACACCTGAAACCTGGCAGGTCCCCGACACCATCATTTTACTCCGCGCCTAAAATAACATGTTACACAGTCATTGAGCGGTGATGTCTGGTATGTGGCTGCTGATCCGCTCATGTTTTACAGGAGGTTTGGCAATAACATGATCTCCAGTTTTCCCGGTGGAATATTCTCATCATCACTCGGTGACAACCTCCGAGTCTTGTAAGTCTGACTTCATTTTTTTAATGATACAATCCCTACGATCAGACAGAGAATGGAAAAGGAGTCTAACAAAGAGAATTGATTGAGAAATGAGCTCGAGTTTGCAGAGTGGATGGGAAGCGAGCGAGTCTGCTCTGAAACCTTTTTTTCCTATAACAAAGAGAAGGAAGGAAAACAATGAACGGCTATCTGTAGGGGCTGCTAGGCTAGGAGCAATGCAGGTGGGCATAGTAGGCTCCCCGACCACTGCCCTCGGGTTCCTGGCGTACTACACGCACCAAAGGCAATAATAACTAGTATAACAGATTTCTAGTGGCAGGATAAATCAGAGAATGAACGGCCAGAAGGCCACAACATGTGTACTCTGATAGTCGTATGTGTATGGACAGCAGCTCCAGTGCATCGTTTCAAGTGAGATCTCATCATTCGCCAAGGTTGGGTTTTGGTTTGAAACTTCCAAGGCAGTTGGAAGCACTTTTACCATGAAAAATATCATTCTCTCTGTTTCCAGTTGTCTGCAGTGAGAAGACCTATAGTCTGTTTCAAAAAGATTAGCAATCAGGTTTGGGTCTTAAAAAGTATGAAGATAAGGGGAACTTGGACAACAAAATACATAGAAGGGCTTGTCAGGGCATGGACAATTGTTCTGTGAAGGTTTCGGAACAATTGGACCAGCCGTTAAGGAATTAGAATTTTCGGCCAGGTTTCTTGCCTTTTCCCATGGTTTACAATTTGCCCTGGAAGCCAGTATCGATTTTTTTATCAAAACCCACGATTTATCCCTTCCTTTTTGGCCTTGTGGTTATGAATGCTGTCTGCTGACCATGATTTTGTGGGTTCAAATCCCAACCTATCTTCAAATCAAACATTTTTTCATTGTTTTGGTGATCAAGCTGAGAAGGGGGCTGCACCAATACTTGTTGTTGGAGCTTGCGCTTCCCGCCGAACTGACTGACACTTGACTGGCTCACGCCATGTGAACACACCCCCAACACTGAAACGATGTGAATGAATAGAAGTCATTGCGCTGTAGCTACGTGCTGACACCGGCACATCGATCGATCGATTTCTTGTTGAGAATTATTTTAGTATTTCAAGATCGCCAATTTATTTGAATTTAGGAGTCAACGCCGTCTTCTATCAGCTTTCACAGGCGTCTGCTTTTCGCAAAATGTCGTCGAAGTCACACGGATGGCTTTGCCAAGTCATGGCCACGAGAATGAGTCCGTGTCCATGTGGTTTTCGTCACATGGTGAGTGTAAAATTGCATCGCAGCTCAAAGAAACTATTTGGTCACGAAACGATTTGGGACCCTTGCCGCGCTTCAACATTCGACATGTCCTCTCCGACTCCGAGTACATATCGATACGAGGAAGAACATTTGTTGTGCATGTGGTGACGTGAGTGAGTTGTCATTTTTCATGCTTTCGCGCGGAATATTTCTTCGAATTCACATCGAGTTTTTCCAGGCAGCCCAAACGGTAAGACGTCAAACTCCCGGGCGATTGCCAGGATTGCTAATCTTCTTGATACTGACTGTAGGAGATGATATTGATTTTCTATGGCAAATTTCTATGCCATTTCTTGCTATTTTCCATTATTCCCTGTACTTTATACCCATGATGAGAAGGAAACGAAACTGTTTGATTACACAATTTTGGCTTTATTTGTCTGTGTGGATCGTGTCGGTGCTGACACTTCGTTCGTTTTTTTATGCATGTATTTTGGTACTTATGCTGGCCTTTGGAAGAGAATAAAAACGCAATTTTCTAAACTTGGAAACTTTTAAGTTTAAAAATGCATCTCTCAAAATCTCTCTCTCTTCATTTCTCTCTCAGTCCACCTATCTACTTATCCATCTATCTCTCTTGCTTTCTCCTTCTCTCTGTATCTATCTGTGCGGTGCCCTTCACAGGAGTTTTGCTGGCAACCAATTAAGGTCTCTGGACAATGGAGTGTTCAATAGCCTCCCCAATCTAGCCGACTTGTGAGTTTACTTCCTTTTACATACCATAGAAACCGCTGTCAGCCCTAGCCTTATTCAAACCATTTCTATGTACATCGATGCTAAAACCACGGCTATGTGCCGACGGTGTGTGGAGCTGCTTGGAGTGCCGCGAATTCAGTCTGAGTTATACTGAGGGAAAAATTTCCTCCTCCCCTTCCCCCCCCCCTCCCCCCCCCCCCATTCACCCCCGCGTCTCCAACCCTTTTTTCAGATGCATACATACGTGGAGGCTCATCAGATTTGCAAGACCATCACATCAATAGCACGCGAGGGCGCCCCACTTTCGTGGAACAAATCAATCTTCCACACCTCCAACGTAAACACCACTTCTCAGCGTCCAACTGCTGACAATGTCTGCCTTGATAAAGATTGGAATGGTAGCCAGAGGCTACCATTCTATCAAAAATCGATGAAAGTTACCGAGTCTACCGAGAATTTGTAGCTTTCATCGACGTTTGATAATGAATTTGCTTTTGTTGATTTCTAAATTCTTGTTTTCTGATGCTACCAGGAATGTTGATGGCAATAAACTGCAAACTCTAGCATCTGAGGTGTTCAACGGTCTTGCAGATGGCACGTAAGTCTTCTACACGGATGGAGAGCCAAGGATTATTTATAAAAAAGTAAAAAGGACCAAGAGCTACAGGGAACTACGTCAGTACCGTCGGTCAGTGTTGTGCAATGTTATCGCGTGAGCTGATTGTTTAGTAACTGGTGGTGTTAGTGGATATTATAGTGTAACTTGTAGTTCCTTGATCCTTTTTTACTTTTTATTTCTACAGTGAAAAGCACTGTGCAGCACACAGCGGAGAGATTTCTGTACGGCAGTTGTAATTTACTGACATTATTGCGGCGAAGCAAACATTTTTCGCAGTCCAATTGCAACGAATACGAGGCTTGAAGACCCTCGAGTTGTATCAGAGCGACGAAAGGTATGATCGAAACGGACTTTGAACTTTGAAGCAACATAATTATAAAACGTCATGATTGAAGATATACTAGTACCCTCCTCAACTCGCTCTGATTATGGAGGCGATTTTTCCTGATGAAAGTCTCATGAAAACAACAAGGAAATGTCTTCATCCATGCTTCGTTATTTTGTTTCCTTAACATTTAATTCCGATTCGTTAATAATTCTCATCGTGCGGTCCCAAGAGTACAGAACTCCTATAGATAACCCCGTGCAGTCACACCAAAGTGCACTCATGTGTGTGTGTGTATAGAGATAATTTGAAAGACAAATGATGCGAGCTCCAGTATGGGGAGCAAATCCTTTCCTAAAATAACATACTAAAGGATTTAAAATGGCAAAAAAATAAGATCAATTGTGTCCTCATAACAACAGCCGAAAATGAAGCAAGTGTAAGTTCCATAAGGTTTTTTGTGACCAATTGCCATTTTACGACTCTTGTCTCCTCGTCCATTATTTTAATACAGGGCATGTTTGGATTAGGTGGTGTTCTGATAATGCTCCAAAGTAATTACCCCAGCCATTGAATATTTTATTGAGTTTTGGCCAGGTTAAGTCAGGCTTAGCTGCGTTCAGTCTTTGCCTTTGACTAATTTCCCCAAGACATCAGAAGCAAACAATTATGGGCGTTGCAGAATTGAACTCTCGGCCAGGTTTGGGTGGCTGAGAGCAAAATGGGAAAGTACAGCTCAGGAGCTTTTGTCCTGAAGCTTACAGGACTAATGGCCCTTCCATCCTTTTTGGGAAGGTGCAGGCCTCGGCAAAGTCAAATGACACCAGTACAAATCCCTTTAGCTGTCGCTACTCGTTCGTGAACTATACTATATGTGGGCCAATGGAATTCCTAGTGGACAGATACTTTGCAGCTCGCCACGCATGGTTGAATTGGTCGGATTCAACAATTTCAATGTATGTGTGGCCGGTGAATGGCTGACGATGTGACATTCTTACATGACATGTGAACGTTGCCCAGGCCATGGCTAATAGGGGCAGTCTTCCTGCCGCGGATGCAATCAAGGCCATCAGAGCGGATTGACGTCATTTTTGGGATTAATTTGACCTTTTCGCCTTTGCCCTTTCCTGATATGTTGCGCCGTGTTGTGGGAATTCAAATCAAGCACACTCTTTTTCTGTCATGATGGCTGAATATTCCCCTTGTCAGCAGCCCTCTCCTGAGCATACTTGATTACATGCTCTTTGTGCAAGCTGTGTGTGCTGTGCTTCTTTGTGTGTTTCTTTCTTGACACCATGCTGGAACAGGAACATTCATCTTGCACACAACGACAAGGTGCTCACAAACACGCAGCTCTGTAGCATCATAGCGCGAAACCCATCATTGAACTTCATCTTGACTCCAGAGTACCAATCGTTTGTGCAATTGGGTGAGTGCATGTCATGTCCAGTAGAGTATAAGTTGTTGTTGTGGTTGGTGTTGGTGTTGGTGTTTTCGCTACATTTGAAATCGCTTATTATTATTATTGTTATGCTTGTTCGCGTTGACATCACCAGGCAAGCTTGACTAGCCTTCGCATAAGCCAAATGAACAAAAGGAAAGAGTTTGAAATCGCTGGCTAGTTGCTACACTGAATAATATACTAAGTATCAGTTCATGTGGAGAGGCAAAAAAACATGCACAGACAGAGAGACAGACAAACAGAAAATACAGGCCAACCAACAGAAAGCATGCATGTTGCGATGTTCCTACATCCAAACACACACACAGTAAAGCCTGATGTAAGCGACGTCTCACTTAAGCGACCAGCTGCTCTTAACAGACCGTGTTTCCATGCATGGTCAGTTCTACACAGAAGCTGTGGGACCAGGTTCTAAAGACCACCTGGCTTTAACCAGACCGCTTTTGCGTGCAGCGTGGGGTGGTCGCTTAAACCAGATTTCACCATACATTGTTATAGTGCATTCCTGAACACGAAAAACCTCAGTGTACCTCTTGCATCGCTTTCTCACGGAAATGGTTTAAAGCAAAGTGTGCACAGCATGACAGACACATAATGTGTGCGATCAAAATGTGCATCAGTACACTTGCAATGGAAGTACATAATCCTAGGCAGTGTGATAGCTATTACGAACCTGGCTTGCCTCTCCCCCTCTTGCCTCCCCCCCCCCCCCACCCCACCCCAGAACAATATTTGATATTTTTTGGGGACAGTAAAAATCGTCCAGGACCACCCCTCAGATGTTTCCCGGGCCAGGTAGCACTGTGATAGTGTTTGCATGCAGCATGCCATTACCACTAAAATAATACAATACCAAAAAATACCACTGTGTGTGTGTGTGGAATATTTGCTTGCAAGTTGCAGTACACCAATACCAGTGCACGTGTGTGTGTGTGTGTGTGCGTGCGTGCGTGCGTGGGTGCATGTGTGTGTGTGTGTGCGTGCGTGTGTGCATGTGCGTGTGTGTGTATGTTTGTGTGTGTGTGTGTGTGTGTGTGTGTGTGTGTGTGTGTGTGTGTGTGTGTGTGTGTGTGTGTGTGTGTGTGTGTGTGTGTGTGTGTGTGCGTGTGCGTGCGCATGTGCGTGCGCGCTGAATCTACTTCCATGCAGCACGCCAATACCACTGCAACATTCCTTGCTACAAATGGAGGCCCTATGAACTTGATGTCTGCAACAATGCCTTCTGCACCGGCACTGTCGCTAGTCCCATATGCCATGCCCTTTTAAGTACCCGTAAGTAATTTCAAGTATAGGAGGGGGAAGAGACGACTTACATGATGATAGCGCATCTCGGCGGCAAGTGAAGCACGTGATCCCGATAGCTTGCCGTGATGACGGAACGACAGAAAAATCGATTCACGATGCAGGATGTGCGTACAGTACCTGTAATACAAAACATTCCACGGAATGGCACAGCATGCATTTCAACCCCTAGCCTCCTCATGTCACCGGGGACCATACAGAGATAGCTCACGGGATACGTTCGCGCCAAAATTTGAGTTCACGTGACTGAATCTCCATGGTGGTGGTGGTGGTGGTGGTGGTGGTGGTGGTGGTGGTGGTGGTGGTGGTGGTGGTGGTAATGGTGGTGGTAATGGTGGTGGTAATGGTGGTGGTAATGGTGGTGGTGGTGGTGGTGGTGGTGGTGGCGGCGGTGGCGGTGGCGGCGGCGGTGGACAATAGTACATGTCCCCCCATGAGTGTGCAACTCCACTATAATACAAAAATTACATATTATGTAATTTTTGTAATTAATTTATTTGTTTCTGGATTGCCCAGAGGCTGGAAGGCCTTAAGGCCTGTCGAGGGGGTCTCACTATGTGTTCTGTCCTGAAAGAATATCAAGTTGACGTCATTTTTTGATTCAATGTACATTGCACACGTCTAATAAGGCGTGTCCTGGACCTGTAGCGGACATACCCCAGTAAACATCTTGGTGATCACCAGGTGTCTTGCAGGACGTCCAGCTTCCAAAGCAGTACATATGTTGCCGTGTTAAGAGACGTTACACACGTCCACTGTAAGACCAGTAATGTTAACGAACATTTGATTCTAACGATTTATCGATTTTTTTATCAAATCGTTAGCATTTGAAGTCGTTATATGAGCCGCAATCAGCGAAAACGACCCTTAGAGATTTCGTAATTTTTTCGAGAAAAGGTCGATTTGTGACGTTCAACGATTTTTAGATCGCGCTGCAAACAGCGCGACGACTTTACTTCTTGAACTCCTTGCTTGAAGCAATTTATTTTGAAGTTGAAGTGGTGTCGAGTGGCGACTCCAGTGTTCCTTGATCTTGTTGCGATGGCTGCGGACGCCTCAGCTGTTCACAGAGCACACACGGCAGTCATTGTGTACAGCTAGCTCGAGCCTGGTGGGAAGTAGCCGCTGAAGTTCAGAGTGAGGACGAAACGTTCTTTGGTTCCGACATCGATGTTGACAGCGAGGCGGAATCGCAGCCGTCATCTTCTGCTGCGAGGCGGCTCAAGGTGGCCGATGACTCGTCAGAGTCGGAAGATGAGGAGTCGTCACCTGAGATAAATTCTGAGTCTGGGGCTAGTGACGGCAGCGACGTCTTCAGCTGCGGAGGAAGAAATGGAAAACGAGATTGCGGAACGACTCCACGCAGGATGAAGCTGCGAATATGTCAATCATTTCTCTGCACTCATCAGCTATTCTTTGTCATTATAGCTGCTTACTGCACTATTTGAAAAGTATTCAAGATGCCCACCCACCTTTCGAATGCTGAATATTCATTGTACACATACATCGTATATATACATTGCACCAATTTGGAGTACATGTACTGTATTTTTCGGAGTATATTGCGCACCTTTGTATGACGCGCACCCCCAATCTTCATTGGGGGTGCGCACTTCAATCTTCATTGAAGTACATGCTTTTCATATTCGGAGCATAGTGCACACCTGAGATTTAGGGCCTAAAATAACACATCTAAAGTGCGCACTATACTCCGGAAAATACGGTACATATTGTATATTGGTGTATACACCCGTTGAGAATCGGAATATTGAACTTTTTCTTGGCTGAGGTCAATTCAGTAGATGTGTTTCAACAAATTTCTAAGCAAAAATGAATTTTGAAAATTTTGACCCTAAGGGCTGTTTTCGCTGGTTGAGGCCCATATGCTAAACGATATGTACATGAAACTCGGATGTTGAGCCATAAATGACTATGTACATGTACAGTCATTTGCCGGTTTTTGAGGAAAATATCTGGTCTTACAGTATTTCATTACACTGGACAACTAACTTGCTGCTGCTTACCTGAGCAGGTCTGCCCGTATTATGATGCTGTTGTGGGGGTTTTTCAAGAAATTTTAGTTGAAATTTTGTGGAACACTTGGGAAAAATCCTAGCGGGTGGTGGCGTTGCTACGGACGCGGAAAACTCGGCATCCAGCCGAGTCTCACGCGAATCGTGAATGTTTTTTGGGGGGAAATGCAACGGTAAAAAAGGAGAAGGACAAAATGTTACGAGCTATGGTTACCACCAGCGTAGCCAGATCTTATACAGTCAGCGAGTGCAACAAAATGACACAAAACTGACAAGGAGTACTGAGACATTCGGAGACCTGACACCTAGCTCCAACACTTCTCCAAGGCGCAAGCCAACAGCCTTCCAACTTGGAAGGCTCAGGTTCGGAAAGGTCCAAGAGGGGAAGGAATTTTCAATGCATTTACTTTTTTTAATGTGCACGAGCTCCACTGCAACCACTTCATTATATGAAAAACCCTACACGCACCATCTTCAAGTCAAGTAGTCTCTTCGCCGCAAACTACAATATCTCATTGTGTTTATTTTGACTGTAAAAGAAGCTGCACATGATGGTACCCAAAGTCATTACATTCATTATGCTCTAGTAATCAACAAAATTGTCTCCGACTGCTGTTTTGGTGCATATAATTATTAAAAAAATCTCTTCCGCCTGAGTGAGTTCTCAGCGACAACATCTCATTACAAGTATGTTTGCTCATTTTTGTTTTGTTTCCACAGCCAGCCAAAACTGCGAAATAGCGAAAAGCGCCTCTGACTGGCGAACGATCATCATGCTCACCGCGGATGAGCTCAGTTACGGCAATGCTACAGCGTACTGCGAAAGCCGACAGGGACGACTACCCACTCTTGCGGAGAACATGTGCGTGGCGGACTTGGGGAGTCAAGTAAAAGCCAGTCGGGACCTAGACTACACACCGGTGGTATGGCTGCAGGATAAGTACTTCCATCACCCATACGCCAGCAACTACATCACGTACCTTGCCGACCGTAAACTGCATGTCGCATGCGCCCTACCAATCATGACAGTGCCAGCTTAACTCATCGAATTTTAGCATTTTTTATGCAGGCCCGCCTATGAGCCTCAAGTTCTCTTTCACATAATAGTACATGTACTGTAACACCGTGTGAAGATGTGTTCTTGATTATACCTTCATGTTTTACTGATACATAAAAGGGGATTTGTCAACTGACAACCGCTCTATTTAGTTGCTATTCACTCACGAGTGAATAGCAACTAAATAGAGCGGTTGTCAGTTGACAACCCCCCTTATATTTACTATGCAGTTGCGTGATGTCCACCACTTTCTGAACGATGATTTACTGATGCCATAATTTCTTCTCGTCAAGAGTGCATACTTTAAGAATTGAATCTCCAACAATGCACACAGTTTAGCGTTTTAACGAGAAAAATACCCATCGTTAACTCCAGTAACGTTCACGCACTCGAAGTATGTTATTCCTTCTCTTCTGTACTGGAGAAATGGAAGACAGATGTTGCTGGCAGGGTCGTTCAACGTTGTGCCAGCTACAGCAAATGCTCCGTTAAACTGTAGGCTTGTCACGCTTTCAACTCGTATTACATGCATGTAATGACCCGATGTGACCAAGAGTGGCTACACCAGAGTGTGCAACTCCCGGCGGCAGAATCATCCCATGGCAAAGCTTTTTGCGATGCGACACGCGATGCGACAGGCGCGAAACCGGGAAAACCCCAAATCGCAGCCATGTCGCACCCCACGCAACTGCCGCAACTGGGCCATCGCAGAAGTTGAGCTTGGCTCAACTTTTGCGATGCGACAAGCGATTTGGCGTACGATCTTGACTTTTTCTACAGCAAAGTTGTACAAAGGTTCAAGAGTTGCCTATAAATTTGTACAGGTTGTACCAAACCGCGCGAATATCATGGTGACGTACCCAAATCAGCAAGACTTTGTCGCATCGCTGACTTCTTCTGTGAATGGTATTTCGCGAGTTCGCATTGCACGTGTCCGTCGCAGATCGCGTCGCATCGCGTGTCGCATCGCAAAAAAGCTTCTGTGAATCCCGCTTAAAGGGTAAGTATACCCTAAATCAAATTTTCACCAGTTGTAGTCTTCGGGGTGCTGAGTCGAATGGTCTTGGTCCGAGGAAGCTGAAACGCTCCCTTCCTCCTTTATTCCCAATCGAACTCGCGCACTTCCACCAAAACTGGGTGACTGCGCCCTACTAGATGGGGATTTGTATGCAAAATGTCACTAAAAGCGCCATTTCGTTCTTATAAAAGCACGGATGACCGCGACTGGCCCATATATTGTAGTCTTTTGGACGCTGAGTCGACTGGGTTTGGTCCGAAAAGGCTGCGATGCAGCGTTCCTCCTTTATTCCCAATCGAACATGGTTGAACAAGCGGTCACGTGCTCCTGCGTACACCAGTCACCTGGTCACCGTGCCTGCAGGGTACAACTTACTAGCCTGCTTGACCTTTTTTGGGTGCAGTCCTGACCGCTTGTTCGACCATGTTCGATTGGGAATGAAGGAGGAACGCTGCATCGCAGCCTTTTCGGACCAAAACCAGTCGACTCAGCGTCCAAAAGATTACAACATATGGGCCAATCGCGGTCATCCGTGCTTTTATAAGAACGAAATGGCGCTTTTAGTGACATTTTGCATGCAAATCCCCGTCTAGCATCATAGTCACCCACTCCAAGTTGCCACGGATGCCGCCCTGAAATGGGCCGACTCGGCAGGTGGACGCTTTAACCCCACGAAGTCCTTCCAAATGACGTTCTCCCCACGTACCAACGGACCGGACCCTCCAAACATCGGGCACCTGCGAATGAACCAGTAAGAAGTGCGCACGGTCAACACACACCGACATCTTGGCGTGCAAATTGATAGCCACCTCAACTTCCAGTGCCACATCGAAACAATCACCACCAAATTTCGCCAACGCGTGGTACTACTTGCCCACATGTCGAGCCGCCTAACGCCGGAAGTTACAAACCGGCTTTATACTGGTTATGTCCGACCCACCATTGAATACGCCTCGCCACTGTGGCAGTTCCAACTGTCCGCATCCCAAGCGGCGGTGCTTGAGCGTCTGCAGGCCAGATTGGCACGAGTCGTCTTGAGACAGTACGGTGTGTTTCCCTCCGCTACTGAACCGAAGGCATCTCTGTTCGCGCACCTGCAATGGCCCAGTCTGGCATGGCGGCGACACATCCAGTGCCTCCGGGAGCTCCATCACCTGGTCCACCACCAGACCACTGCCCTTATGGAGCTGGGCTATAGTCTCCCCACCAGCGCGCGGCGCCCTCTCCAACTTGTACCGCCTGCCAGGGCGAACAGCTACTCGCGTGCCACCTTCCTCTTTGTTACCGCTGCCACCTGGAATTCTCTCCCCACTGACATTAGAACCACCCAAAATAGTCATTGCTTTGTGTCTCGTGTCCGTACTATCTTTGCCAACACCCGCTTCGAACCCGCTGGTTTCATTCCTTCCAGAGTTTCTATAACATAGCAAAGAATGGTATGGCTGATTTCTGCAGTATGCATTTGTTATAACCCTTCCTCTTCTCAATCTCTATGTTATAATTTGCAGATAGATTCCCAGTAAGCCATGAACGGAGACCCCCTCAACTTAGGCCTCGGCCTTTGGGGAATCCGTAAATAAAATTAATTAATTAAAAAAATAGTAGGGCGCAGTCACCCAGTTTCGGTGGAAGTGCGCGGGTTCGATTGGGAAAAAAGAAGGAAGGGAGCGTCGCAGCTTCCTCGGACCAAGACCATTCGACTCAGCACCCAGAAGACTACAACTGGTGGAAATTTGATTTCAGGGTATACTTCCCCTTTAAGCATTATGGGCCATCCGTAAAATTAAATAATGGATATTTATTTAGAAACGAAAACTAGTCGTTGGGGGGGGGGGTGATCGCCTGTTCGTTTCTCGAAAAATATCGATGCACAGTTTGTATGTGTGGGCCCATCCAGAAAAGAGGAAAAAATTGATACTGTGTGCCGTTTGTACCTGTATGTGTTCGTTTCTCAGGGAGAGGGGAAGGGGTTGAAGAGAAATGACTACAGTAAAAGCCATAATTATATATAACGAAGTGCTAACTCTAACGAGGAGAAATCTGTCGTTGAAATAGAAATCGTTATACAGAAATCGATACATATACTGTCCTATTGAGCGTTGAGAATGAGTGAGGATCGTTACCGTTGATACGCGTAAACTAGTCAATTTTGGGAAATCGTTATTATATGCACCTCGCTAGAATAATGGCTTTTACAGTAGTTTCCGTTTTTTTTTAAATATCGGTATTTTACAGATGGCCCCTTTAGTAACTTAGGGCATAATTATTTGACTGGTCCGTCTGGATTCAGATCGGATTCACTGGAGCAGTCAGAACAACAGTTCCAAATCAAACAGAACAGCGAGTAGTTTTGCCATACCTATTGTGGAACTCATCAAAGCTCATCGTGCCGCGAACTTCAAACCTTCCACATACTAAGTTCAAAGATGTGTTTACGTTGCTCAAGATGCAAAGGCGAAACAAACTTGAAAGGCGAATACAACCGGAGAAGAAGCTTCGAAGACAACTAAAAATTCAATCATGACAGTGGAGACCACCATGCATTGCGTAACCCCGTCAGGTTATATTGGGCATTGCAACCTGCTCTGGCTGTTATAGCCTAAGCTGCCTTGGGGGTCGGAGTGGCCAGAATATGTTCCGACCACTCCACAATCAGTGGAGACCAATCAAACGCTCCTGTTCTAAACGATCATGTTCCGAATCCGACCAATCAAACGCACCCTCACATTTGCTGCATCTCACCACAGTTCACAATAGTCTATAGAACAAGACTATTTATTTATTTATTTATTTATTTATTTATTTATTTATTCAACATCTCCTGGCCCGTCCGAAGACTGCCAATAAACATGAGAGGTCAGGTGATAGCCAACCACGGCAAGCTAAAAGGAAAAAAAAAAGAAAGATGCTATCAGAGAGGGAAAGGAGATAGGGAGAGAAAAAGAAAGGGAGGCACATTAATAATACATGGGATCACTTCGGATGAGACAGTGTGGAAAGCTGGACTGTGAATTTCCTGATATCCTGGCATGTCTTAATGCTAGTAGGCAGGTTAGACCAAAGGGAGTATGCTGAGAAGAAAGGGGATTTCAAAAACAGAGAGGAACTAGCTCGGGGCAGTGATAAGGCATTGCGTGTTGGTCTAGTGGTAACAAACCAGTTGTACTTGGCAATATGTTTCGGGACTTGGGCTAGGAAGATTTTTTGCACAAGGATACAAAGATGCTGCTGATGTCGGGCAAGAAGAGGGTGCGTGGAAGCAAGTTTATAAAGACAAAGGGAGGCAAATGTTTGGTCTTTTCGAAACAGAATTTTCAGAAGCAAGCGTTGATGTACCTCCAGTCTGTGGAGTAAAGTCTGAGACAACCCGCACCAAGCTATATCGCAATAGTCAAATATAGGCAAAATGTACGACTTAAAGAACAATTTTCTGCAGTTATCATTCAAGTGTTGGCAGTGGGGTTGTAGCATACCTAAGGACGCACTCGCACGCTTGCACACAGACTGGACTTGTGGAGACCAGGAGAGTTGGCGGTCGAGAATAACGCCCAGGTGCTTGTGCTCGTTAACAACTTTAATAGGTGTACTATTTAGACCAGGAAAATACAGAAGTTGAGTGGGGGGCGAGGGAGAGAAGAACATGGCCTCGGTTTTGGCGAGGTTAGGCTTCAGTTTCCAGCTTTCCATCCATGTTACTGTAGCGTTGACCCCGGACTGCATGGAGGCCGTGAGGTTGTCTGCCGAGCTGTCGGAGCACATCAGAGCAGTGTCGTCAGCAAAAAGACTTACATTTGGTACAAGGGCTGGCAAGTCATTAACGTACAGTAGAAATAGGAGCGGCCCAAGTATGGACCCCTGGGGTACCCCAGACACGACTAGTAATGGGTCTGATAGGGAGGTAGATACTCTGACAGTCTGGTGGCGGCAGGAAAGATAGGATGAGAGCCATTGCAGGGCTGGACCGTGTACCAAGAAGACGGAC